TAATACATTTACCTTTCAGATGGATCTCTCTTACTGGGATTCTGCTTTGTCTGTTATTCAGTTATTCAACATAGAATATTTAATTTAGTATTTTACATTAATGACACTTTAAATATTAATAAGAAATTATATCAGAAGTCATTTATACATTCTGTAAATGTATACCCCTTCTTACCCCTCAAATAATTTTACATTTTGTGCTAAAACAACTAAATTAGCAAATGTTTCTATTTATTTCCCATAATAGCACACTGGCATCATCCTGCACATGCTAAACTTATATCTAAATATGTTACAGTTTAAAGGTAAATACAGATTGTTCTTAAGGGGGATATCGTTGACCATCTTACCCTGCATCTTGAAATTTACTGAATTTAAAAAAAAAGTTCTGTTTTATATATCAGTACACAGACCCCTTCGGTACCTTCATGAACCCCCGGGAATGTGTTTACCTGATAGAAATAAGTTACATTTGTTGGAAATATATGCAAACATGGCCACACCTAAAAAGTATACTATAGAGAAGGCAAAAGAAATACTATTGGCATCTCACAGAAAACCAAGAGGGAACAGAAGAATGGAGCTGGTATAATTACATGAAATTCGACATGCATGTAAGGAATGTGAGTTCTAGGAACACAGACCCTAATGGTGGAGTTTTCCTGTAAGCACCAAGGGGGTGAATGAGGAAAGCAAAGTGAGTGACTGGTATTCTCTGTGTGAATACATATTTTACAGTAGTCACAAGACCATTATTATTTCTGACAATCTCTAATCTCTAACTTTCCTATTTTATGTTAAAGTCTCCAAAAAAGCCTAAACATGTGAGTTGCTTGAATGCATACCCAAAACATGCATGACATCTATCTGTCATACAAGACACAAACCTCTCCCACCTCTCAGGAAACCACAGACACACACTTTGCATTTTGCAAAAACATGCACGAAAGAAGCAACCCAGGAACAGGATAAGGGATATATGAAAACATGAAAATTCAGTGAAAATGTTTTTTCATTTAATCTATTAAGAATAAAAATAAGAAAAATTACAATACTTTCATTAATATTCCAAGTCATTTGCTTTTCTAGGCAATGTGAGGAGTGTCTGGCACTCCATATGTAATTTTGCTTTCAGGTTCACACCACTCAGCGATGGAATATTACTCACTATCTCGCTTGATCATTTTTCCTATTTTCGCATACATTTTACCTGCCTCACAAGACATAATAATCTAAGTGAAACTACATATGGGCATCAATATTTGTCAGCTACTTTCCATTCCATCTCTACCACATGAAAGTAAAAAAAAAACCTAAACTTTGTTCGTAAAATAAGGATGTTATCCGCGAAGATTTGAGAAAAAAACAAACAAAATGACTCACAGTGACCATAAATTGATCTCTTTTATCCTCCCACTTTCATATTTCCAACGTTTGAGTATAGGCGTACATGCAGTAAAGATAAACAGTAAATAATTTCAATAATCTCAATTTCATATGCGACATACATAGTATCATAATCATTTGCTTTACAACAAGGTTAAAATATTATTAAGTCCCGACATACATCTCATGTGCATGCAGGTAATGTGAATTCAGATTTGAGTATCCATACAAATTTTTGATAATTTGGAAATATCGTAATCCATAGCTGTCTCATCTAAGGCCTGCATGGAATACTTTGTCATCAAAGTTATCATTCAATGACAAGCAGTATTAAATCAAGCATATTTCAGAAACAAGTACTGTAAGTAAATATTCACCAAGAAACAGCGTTCTTTACCTTGCACCTCTGTAGTCAGCCGTTGTCTTCCTGTGCTGTTCTGGTTAAAAACGAGAGTGAAAGGATCTTTATAGGATAAAAATATCAATCTGAAAAAAGACAGATAAAATCTCACATCAAAGGAATAACTGCAATGTTAGATTCTTCAAATTGTATCAAAGGTCATAGATCACATGCAGATGGCATGCAGCAATATTATTCTTCCGTGAATGGCAAAGGACACACTAGAGACGAAAGACCATCTAACATGTCAGTCTGCAGAGGTTGAGCACAAGTTTTCTTGTGGAAGATGAAAGGCAATTCATGCTACTTAAAAAAAAAAATGTATGTTAAATGTTGTGTCTTTCTGTCCCCCAAATGTTTCACTATGATAAGTAAGCACAATATTAACAGGAAAAATTGATGCTATTTTACATGTTAAAGTTACCTAGAAATTTAGAGACAAAATATTATTTACAGATTGTTGTTGTTTTGTTTTTGTTTTTTTACATATGAAAACAAATGATAAAAAGTAATTTAATTAAACGTTGTGCTACTTTATAGCCTATGACATAATTATTAGGTAATAAAATAATTTATACTATGTCTACTACTGTATGTCTTACAATTACAATTACAAGAAAAAACTCACAAATGAA